TCCGCGTCAAATACTGAATGTCTATTTTCCGAGTAGTCTCGTCTTTAGCTTTGAGGATTGTGTGGTTGTGGTCCAATGCCACTACATGTAATGCACACCAACCGATGGGCCAAAACACAGTATTCAATAAAAAGCGTGATGCTGGTTCTATGCAAAATAAGTATTAAGATGAAAATTACGTAATACTCCTGAACAGGTTCAAGAAGCGATTTTTACAGTCAAGTAATATTTCCGGAAATGGGCACAACATAAACATAGAAACAACTATGAAAATATTGGGAACTACGATACTAGTCACTTGTCACCGATTAACCGTATTTCAACCAAGCAAAGGACGGTGAACTACGATATTGAGTAGATAGTTTTGACACACTCAAAGATTAATGATTAAACCTATACGGTAACAATAAAACGAAACGTTATGGACGTTATGAATATAAGCACTTCTAATAAGCGGGAAATGTACTGTACTTCGGAAAAGGAATAACTCAAACCAACCAGCTGAAGCAAGCACAAACAAAGAATAGATAACCAATATGGCAGCCTTCATGATCAAAAGGCAAGTCAGACAGTCGATATCAAGCAGGTAATAACAAAATGGAAGCAATACAGTAAAGGGAATGTAATCGCCGGTAAGTATCAACAATAACCCTGTCCAGCACCAAAGATTTAAATATGTGGAAGATATTTAGGATTTGACGACTCTTTTGCCCTTAACGCCTTTATAATCAGATAAATCAAAGTCATTCAAACCAGAAGTGATGGTTCAAAGATAATATTTGAAAGGTAACTGATGTGTCAAAAAATATATAATTTACGCTGACTAATCGTTGGTAGGGGTGAGTAGCACGACCTAGCTACTCATGATCTGGTGAAAATTTTGGGATGCTTCTAGTAAAGTTAATGAGTTCAGGATCAACGTCAAAAACTTACAGAACTGTTCATTTTTCATTACATATTAAACAGGATGAACAAGAGTAGATGGGTGGGAAACTATGAAATCGAGGAATAATATGGACGTCACAAATCATCTATACCAGTAAATGTCCTTACTACCATGCGTGTACACATGTCAGCATACAGTAGATACCACACCACCATTTACAGCATTACCAGTATAGTAATACATAAATAGCCACTCTAGTTGCATCTGGCTCATTTTTAATGTTAACCAAACATTTCCACTTGTATTTTTATAACTTATAATAAACATATATTTTCAGCACTGACCGACAACAATCGTTTATGTCTATACAAGATCATAAATGTATACATATTCTGGACTTATTATATTTTTAAATTCTTGATCATCTGCTTTACTTTTCTTGTTTCTCCTTTAACAACGTTTCATTGCTAGAAACAGGGTATGCTAGTTGTATCCCTGTTTTATGATATTGGCTTAAATTGCAAGGCATAGCAAATTGACATAGTGGGCAGAATAAGTGCAAGAAACGTGGCGTGTTACATCATGATATAATGTCACAGAAAACCCCCCATACTTGTGAATTTGCCGCAACCTCGGTGTCAATGCAACCTCGATCTCCTTCTATACGGACAACAGTCATCGGGGTTGCTAATACTGCCAATCATAACTCAGATGACAGAACAGCTGTTTTGAAGTTGTGAACAAACCTTATCCCTGTGATTTACAGGAATAAAACTATTCAAATTACTGCTAAAAAAATAGCGTCTATGTCTTGAGTAAGCGTATTCAGAAAGTTCCGAGCACTTAATTATACCAGAAAAGGACACAAACGCTAATTTTACCGCCTATCTTTGGACCAATGTTCGTAAGTATTATTGAATTTCTAGTTGACAACCTTTCAATCCTGGCTCCCCTGGGGAAAAGCGATCACGTCGTTATAGCCTTCAGTTTTGTCAGCAAAACTGAGCGAAAATATCCCACCAACAACAGGCGCTGGAATTTCAAACGGTTGAATGTGTCAGCTTTACAGGACTATCTACAACAGGCGGATTGGGATGTTCAACCTCAACTTGATGTGGATGCTCATGGGCACTTCTTACTGCACACTCTCATATGTGCTACAAAGCAGTCAGTTCCTCTAACGGTCCCCAAAAGCTACAAGCAACCTACAATCATCAACAACCGCACTCTTCGCTTGATAAGCCGCAAAAGGCACTGTTGGTCAGAATACAAACGAACTGACAACAACGGAGCGTACAGGCATTACAAACATATGAGGAACATATGCATGAAGGCTATAAGAGAAGACAGGCTTCAGCACCAGACAAACCTTATGGATAAATTTGTCTCCAACATGTAATGCTTATTTTGTTATGCGGCTTCTCTTCGTCAAGCCAAGACTGGAGTTTTCCAACTGCTAGGTCCTAATGGCCCGACCAATAACGACGGCGATGCCGCTACTCTTTTGACTAAACAATACTCTTGGACATTTCAACTAACCCACATCAGCTATACTGATGACAGCGTCATCTGAAACTGCACAGGTCTTTCCGTATTGAACCTGAGCGCTGACTTAGTGTTCCGGAAACTGCAGCACCTAAGAGAAGACACTTCTCCTAGTCCAGATATGATTCATTCTGCTATACTGAGGGAAGCAGTCGAACGCGTTGACAACTTCACTTATCTTGGAAGTCTGATCAGCCCAAATGGGTTGGTGTTTGACAAAATCTCAGCACGGATTCGAAAAGCTCGTTTGGCTTTTGCCAACTTACGTCACCTATGGCGAAGGCGAGATATCCGTCTATCAATAAAAGGACGAGTATACTGCGCGGCAGTTCGTTCTGTTTTACTTTACGGCAGCGAGACATGGCCATTAAGAGTAGAAGACACTCGTAAACTATTAGTATTTGACCACAGATGCCTTAGAAATATTGCTGGTGTCTGCTGGGATCACCGGGTAAGTAACAGTGAAGTTAGACCCAGGGTATTAGGTAATGATGGTAAATCAGTTGATGAGGTTATGAATCTTCATCGACTGAGATGGTTGGGCCACGTGTTGCACATTCCTGAACACCGATTACCACGACGTGCAATGCTAACCGGTGTTCGGGATGGTTGGAAGAAAGTTAGGAGCGGCCAAACCAAAACGTGACATTAGTGCTTGAAGACACTTACCTCTAGTCTGAGCCATGTTGGTAGATGCAGACTAATTGGTTAGGGGCCGCGTGACTTTCGTAACCGATGGTTGGAGACTCTTGGTGACATGGCTCAGAATCGATCACAATGGCGTAGGTGTATACACTCCCTGTCTTCCCTTAAACTAAGAGATTAAAATCGTTTCATATCTTTCTTTCTACGAACTAATTCTTTCTTCCTGTACTATATCCTTATTGCAATCTTTCTTTTATATATTACCACCTCTGAATTAACTACTTTTATGAATCCGGTGTCCATCTTGTTATGTTAATGAAGTATGGCAACTTGGACCGATGCCTGTATGTGCCTGGTCCTACGTTGTAGCTGACTGACTGACTGACTGACTGAGGAAAGCAGCCTCGATCCTGGCAACACTGCTGAGCGTGATGTTCTCACACTCACACTACCGGGAAATTGGAAGCTGGCTCACATCACACCAATTTTCAAAGGAGGTCAACTCAGAGAACCTTCAAGTTACCGAACGGTGGGTCTTCTCTCTATGCTTTGAAAAATCATGGAGTCCATGATATGCGATGGTATACATGACTTTTTGCTGCCCTTAAATTTCTTCTCACCCCAACAACATGGTTTCAGGAAGGATTACTCTTGTGTAACCAACCTGCTGATTGCGGTGGACAGATGGACAAGCATCCTTGATCGCAAAGGGAAGGTTGAAATCATTTACCTTGATTTCTCAAAAGCTTTTGATATATACATGTCTTATCAATAAGCTCAAACGATTGGGTATCAGACCACCTCTAATTGCTTGGCTGAAAAATCGACATTTTAAGGTTAGGATTAACTTTACTTTATCTGAGGCTATGGAATGTCCTAGTGGGGTCCTCTAGTGCTCAGTACTAAGACATCTTCTCTTCTTGATTTATATAAATGGTCTTCCACAACAGGTGTCGTCAGACTTATTACTTTTTGCTGATGACGTGAAACTTTGGAGAGAAATATGCAACCAAAACGATGTACAGGCACTTCAGGAGGATCTGACTCGACTTCAAAGTTGGGCAGACGATAATGGACTTACCTTTAACACTTCAAAGTGTAAAACAGTCCATCTGTAACATGTCGCAGACTACAGTTACAACTTAAGAAACTCCTTTCTAGTAGTATCTCAAGTCGAGAAAGATTTAGGAGTCCTGGTGCTCTACGATTTGAAGTCTTACAATAACTGTGACGAAAATGCTTTTCGAGCAAGCCTTGCACTGGTAACACTGAAGCGCATTTTTGGCCATTTTGACGGAAGAACTTTCCACATAATCTTCAACAGCCTTATTCGTCCCCATTTAGAGTACGGAAACATAACATTTCCTTCCTCACTCCAAACGGATAAGGACACTCTGGAGCGTATCCAACGACGAGACACGAACTCAGTTCGGGGACTCAAATTCAAACAATATGAAGAGCGCCTCCAATCACTTAACCCTTACCTGTTAGAGTATATGCGTCTTAGAGGTAACTTCCTGATGTCTTACAGTATCCTTAACACTTCTGGAAATCCCCTTAAACACCTACTTAAGCTTGGTCCCAATACAAACCTAAAGGGTAACACCAAGTAACTGGAGATACAACATAGCAGAACAGACTGTAGACACAAATCCTAATACTTAAGAGTTGTCAAATGCTGGAATTAGTTGCCGACTGAACTAGTCCAAGCAATTTTCCGGGAGTCCTTTATGAGGAAGCTTGACCTATTCTTAAGGACTCAAGATAACATTTTAATATGAGTTACCAGTTTTTTTCTAATCTATTATAGTAATATACCTAGGTTCCCTCCTGGAGGTATTGGGGATCCCCTGCTACTAGACACGGAAGCCTGTTAAGCGAAAGCTTCTTCTATTCCGTCCACAACCATTTGAACCATTGAACTAGAGCAAATTTTCAATAGCTATCGGTACTGTGGTGTTTGGCAGGTGATATTGGTGTTGTTTGGCCTAGGGGATTTACGGATTGCTGATTGCGAAATGAGTATAGTAAAGTTTGAAAAATTGTCACTGTCGAAGTCGAGGGTTAAATATTGTTCAGTGAAGTATATGCATGCAGGTTTTCGGAAATGATAGATTATATTTTAGCTGAAAGTTTGGTGAGGTTTCAATACATTCAAGTCGGTCATCAGACAGTAATGATAAATGGTTGGCCTACTATAAACTCTACATCAATACCAGCATTTTTCCGGTCACTAGAAAACACGTGTTTTGACAACGACAAGTTATGCATTAGATTGTCTTACTTATCTCTGAGGTAGATTTCTGTAAGAAGTAACCGTGAAGTAACTTGTTTATTATGATTGGTGTTTACGGCATATCAGACACCGACAAAATTGCTCAAGTTGTTTGTTCAGTCGTGAGCCTTATCAAACTTTTCGATTAGCAGGACTAATATTAGAGGTCCAGACATAAAAGGGTATCCAACAAATTGTTTGGCAGTTCTCACTATTTTATGGAGTGTGTAATGCGCTAGTTCAGCTGTTTTTTTGTAGTCACTAAAAAAGAATCCTAACTTCATGTAACTGAGGTAGGTAAGCGATAGACGTCAGTGTGGAAACATTTAATTTACGTATCAGTCCCCAATTTATACCAGTAATTCCTGGCCTTTATTATTATTGACTGTGAATTCTAGCTGTCGAAACCGAATAACTTTCTCCTTTGTCTGGCTGCCATGGCTTTTCTAAAAATAGTTGCGTTTAGGAAGTAAATGTTTGTTTTCCCTCAAGAACTAAACAATCGACATGTAAATGGCAAGTACTGAGTCTTGGTCGAAGTTATGTTGAATAGATTTATCCAAAAGTCGCTTGAGTACGTTTTATCATACGTCTTTTTTGTTTCATTTCTTTGGATAATTTGTGGGTCATTAAGACTGAGCAACCACATTCTTGCATATATGGCTGTTATTTTCCATTTATTTGAAAGCCAATTGCATTAGCTAGTTGCTCAGACTAGCGGCGCAATAATTGAAAGCCAATTCAAAACCATCGTTTCAACTTACATCTTGAAGTATCTGTTATTACCTTCAACTATTCTTTTGCTTGAAGTTATGGTGAAAAGTAAAAAAGACTTTCAAAAGGTTCGAGTTAAAGTTGGACGGAAATTAAAATGCCGAAACGAGACAGTAATCAATTTGCAGAAGAAGAGAATAATCCTTCCTAAAGAACGTGAAATTTGCAAGGTGTGCACAGTTATTAATTATATATGATGAATAACCTAGATACAAGGGGATGAAACTAGTGTTCGGATCTTTGAAGGTTCTATTCATTCATTAAACATTGAGGATAGTGCTCTTCGCCAGTCCGCTTTACGGGCTCTCAATCGTCTCTTGGATCCACTGGCAAAAGGAATAACCACAATTCCATTTTTAGATAAAAACGTTTTATCTCTATCCAGCAACTTTATATCAAAAGTAGTCGATGAACATCAGAAACTGTTGGGTTCTACTGTAAATACAGGGTGTGATATTCAAATAGGAAACTTAATATTCGTACTTGGGCGATTTTGTAGACGAGTTGATGACCCTCGCTTCTGCGATGAGATTTGTCAGCTGTTCGTTAAGATTGTACAAGTAAGTTTATGAGTTTTTATAATGTTCGTATACTCACTCTACGTGGTTATACAAGGATTATGTGATTTTGGCTCACCAATTCATCATTTATATTTTTTTCTTGTAATATGTTAGGTTGGTTTTTTGTTGTGACCATATTTTAGCTGGCTTACTTCAGTAATCTAATAATAATGTTTGATTTGTGAAAAATATATGGGTCAGCTATTTGAATATTCATTTTGCTCAAATTTGATTAGTCTACTGTTTTTAGCAAGAATCATTGTGTAACTAAGCTAAACCCCATGAAACTTTCTTTACATTCGAGCCAGAATACACTAATATTATTCACGAAGCGATTGAACTTATTCGTTTAACTGATTAGTTCTAAGCATAATTGTTATGCTTGTCCTAATAACTTATGATCTAACCTTTCGTTACCCTTCCTAGTGATTGATATTTCTGGGTAACCGATACAAAATTGTATCCCAAAATATGGTTTTGTTTGATCTGCTTGTCATGTCTGAGATGTTAGTCGATATCACTTGTTCGATTCTCAGATTAGAATTCTGATTAGAATTTCTCTACCCTTTTGTATTATTATTATTGTTATTATTTTAACACATAGATATTGGTACAAGGAGGCACCAAATAGATATGTGCCACATAAATCATTCGATTTGTGTGAGGGCTGTGATACTGCCCGGGTGCCCGGACCGAAGCAGGTGGTTTTCTTAGGGGACCACACCCCGAGCCTTCGACCTTAAAGTCTGATCCACAAGGCAGTAGACCATCGTGAGGAGATGCAGTCCCATGGTAGCCGGTGACCAGTCAGTCACTCAGTCACAACGTAGAACTTCGTACGTACGTACATCAGTTCGAGTTGCCACACCACCTTAGCACAGAGATGCAGTTGTCGATTCAAATCCCGTAGTGGTAGAGTTAGCAAGAGTATAAGCAGTAATCGGGAAGATTAGGGTTTGGAGATGTTATTTAAAGAGTATAATCCAGTGAAATAAATTTGGAAAGAGGAAAAAAGGGACATGAAGAATTCAGAAGATTAGAATTTGGGAGAACACAGAGAGTGGATGCACCTGCGCCAAATCGTTTGCAATGGCGCAGGTGCATCCACTCTTTGTGTTCTCCCAAATTCTAATCTTCTGAATTCTTCATGTCCCTTTTTTCCTCTTTCCAAATTTATTTCACTGGATTATACTCTTTAAATAACATCTCCAAGCCGGTGACCAACGATTGGTTCATACACCATTTGTTCCCGCAGGATACTGAAGCCCATGTGCACCATTGGTTTGGGATCCGGTTAAAGCATCGGACATTCGCTTTTCGTGCTCTCATTTTCGTAAACAACACCCCCGCCACGAGAAGACAATGAGTAGGACTTGCCTGGCAGAGGCGGTATACGCGTGGCCGTGTAAGAGCATTTCAAGAGGGAGGGCGGGCCCACCCCTCTCTGCCATACCAGGGCACTTGGGGGCCTCTTTTGTATACCATTTCGGCTATCGCTAGCGTCCTAGGCTTCGACCAATTGTACACCTGTATTGGTAAGAATAACCCTGAGTTTGTGTGGCAAATAGTGCATACTTCTGTTGGTTCGTTTATTCCTAGTCCTCGTTCCGAAACAGAACACAGGAGTCAAACTTCTGTTCTATATTCCAACCATCCATTATATCTATCCTAAATACTCGTTAGTTTATATAAATTATCAAACTGCAACGCATCCCAAATATGAATTCATACTTTACATACAATCATGCCGTAAGCGCAGGGGAGCAGAGCAAACAGTATATAATTAATTAACAATTATTAAGGAACAGCAAATCGTATGAAAAGTTAGTAAGTTCACTGAGAGCTTACAATAAGGAGAATGTATAAATACATTAATACGACTGTTTAATAGTTATGCAACAAAAATATAAATAATGATAATTCGTAAATGGGTCTCAAGATTTACATTTTCTTCTATGTTCACTTCTTCGCAACGCTATTGTCTAAGCTGTGATTATTTTTAAGTTGCTCCATTTCACTGAGTCACTATGTACCGCCATAATACTGGGTTTGAGTTCATCAATAGGAATGGATTTCTTGCGTGTTTTATTTTGGGATGGAAAGTTGTTATTTTAAATGTTATCGACAGAAAAATACATCTCATCTAATTGCTAGTTTTTAGCCAAATCACTTACTGATATATCGAAATATGAAGGGATATTAGTCATAATTGGGTTCCGTGATAAGTTACCACTTCCAAATAAAAGTTTGGTGTGGTACGCCCCTCTTAATATTATTTGCAAACGGAACGAACTGAGTCAGGTATCCCATTACTTTTTCGTTTCTTTGTTCTGTAGCCTTTGGCGTTAGTTATCTCCTTCGTAGACGGAATCAATTCCGTTCAAGAATTTTCGTTACAATTTCGATTTGTATTCTGAACTGTTTAATATGTTAACGTCTTTCAAACACTGTATGTAAAATTGCATTGCAGGACAAGGAATACTGTAAAAACAATACACTGTGTACCAATAATTAACATGTATTTGACTTTTAGTAAGGCTTTCATGGTAATACAAGATGTATTCGGACTTGTTCAGTGGTTTTTTACATTTGACTTTAGTTGGTAGGCAGTTGTTAATTTGACCTTTCATATGACGTTTCCCAGTATTGTTTACGTTTAGTAAATTACCGAATTTCTCATGCAAATATTATAATTTACTCCTTCCATAATGGTAAGAGTTATGCTACTTACTCTTATGAGTCGTTTTTCATTTTATTATTATTTATCAACCTTCATATATTGCTCCACTTTTCAATATATGTGTTTCAGATAGCATATACTCACCCAAAGATATCAGATATAATATTCGAATTGGATCAGGTTGTTCTTAATCTGTTACACAGAAGTGAACTAGTTTGGAAATTTCTCGGATGCCAGCTCTCTGCTTATACATTTGGTCTACATTGTAGGTTAACAACGACTATGAGCATATTGTATCAACCATCCAACCGAACAAAATCAGTTTATTCAGGAGTTTTCGATTCACTTCAACAATCAATACGTTTTCGAGCTTATTCTAATCTTATGATTCAATGCTATAATAATTTAAGACAAAATGTATGTCCCTTTAAAATATTTTTTTATTAATTGTGTAGAGAAATTGAAAAGCAATTCAGATCTTTGCTTTTTTACATGTTTAACAAAAGGAAACCCCTTACGATTCTAATCATTTAATTCCACTTCTAGTTGCTGAAAACTTACCGTATTAAAACATATATACGAATGAAGAATTTTTTTCAATAAGTTCTCTTCAGGTTCTACAATTATATATCCAAATTAATCCAAAAATGACCAGGCTCAAGGCAGAGTACATCAATTTAAATTATAGCATGTGAAGTTAGGATCAGCTGTAATATAAAATAAAATGAAATCTTTAGTGTCGGGATGACTAATATAAAGTGTTAACTTGAATAAGCTTATACGTTAAATGAAATTGTGAGATAAATGATCAGAATAAATATAGTTAACATAGGTGGAGAGAGGTAATAATGTAACTACATATCATAAATCACGTAGTATATAGAAGAATATGAATTGGCTACGAATTAGTAAACAGAAGTGAATGTTGAATAAATTTCTCAAAAATCGTTGGACCGGTTATTCGCATATATTATTTTAGATACCACAAGTAAAGTTCTAGTATATCAATCGAGCAGTAATCACTTACCTACGTTACACACTTTCGACAGCCAGCTCCAGTTTTGGTATAGAACACAGGACGACAGTTACAAAATTCTATTTATGGAGTGCGTTCATCACATAAATAAAAAGATAAATTTACATTCAAATGGTATATCTAAATGGAATGAAATAATGTATGATAAGAATCTTTCGTATCATTTCATTGTGTTACAGGAGATTATATTAACTTCTCACCTTAATATAGTGAAGTATAGATACAAACAGAAAATCGAAAAGCATAAACACAAAATGTTACATAAATCTAGCCATATTCAAATATGAAAATGAAACTTACATGCACGGTGGTCCTTTTGAAATACTTCAGTAATTATGTACTTCCACCATTCGTTATATGATGTCGCACAAAACTCGGTTAGTTAATATTGCTATATAAAAAGGCTATTAACTGAGCGAATGTAGGACTTATTTATGAGTATTGGTATAGTGTTGGGGAATATCAATTACCTTGGGTTATTTCATATTCTGTTTAGGAAAAATACCCTAAAATATTCCCAAGAGTTGAAAGTATTGACTGTGGTCTTCTTAGCCTTTTTTATTGTTACTGGTAAATCTCTGGTAATCTCAATCGGTGGTTGAAGACTTTGGATGGTATGGCTCGGAATTGTTCACAGTGATATTCACGATCTTGAACTCCAGTATACCTCCAATATATACCTTTCCACAGCCTTTTCGGACCATACTCTCAGCCCTTAGTTTCTTTTATTGTCATTTTTACATTATTTCGTTTTCTCTTGCATCCCATCTCGTACCACTTATGTTAACTTGATTCAACTCATAACTGTGCCCGGCTCTTTGTTGATGATATCTACCTGTCTCTCTGCAACCGTTTGTTCTTCTGGCCGCATATGAGTTTATGTTACAGCTGAATATAGTAATAAACTATCATTCTTCGAACAACATGGAAAAGTGCCTTATGACGAATCTTAAAGTGATTGTATAGAAGAGAGGGTTTAAAATTTTAGCTTTGCTTTTCTGCATGTTGAAGCTACAGTGAGGTTGGATCCATATAAGGGTTTTCGGTTGAAAGAAGTGGTATTTACTTTTTGTATGAGGTACGTTTGCACATTTTTCTGAGATGCTTTGGAATGAAACCACGCCTTACATCCAATCGACTTGTTGGTTTTTTGTAGTAATGTTGACACTACTCATAAGTAGCTTAAAATATACGTAGGTTTTTAGAACCTGCTGGACAGCAAGTAAATATTTATCATTTCCCACCAAAAGGTTAGTAGTAAGATGAGGTGGAAGGCTAACATATATGCTCGTCTTCTATAAGACTTTACAATGGGTTTCTCCATTTATCTTTCGACGTTTTTCAGCGCACTTTCAAAACTTTATCGAAGTATCGTGCATATTTGGTTCGAACTACCATGGTTTATTTGAAAGATAATCAATATACGATGTCTCTGAGTTATTCTCAAAGTCATCATCCTTGGTTGTACTCTTTACCGTATTTTTCAAACGAATATCTTCAACTGTATATCCCTTTGAAAGGGTATTATCTCAAGGAATTGATTGATTTCCATCCTACATCGCGTACTTTTGATTCTGGTTTATTCAGTGTTGTCAAACAGTCTCTAATATTCCCTTCCTCAATTAAAAACATTGTCGTGAATAATAGAAATTATCAGCATAAACGGAGTGAGAAAAATCAAAGGAATTTTACAAGCAGAGAGATTTCCGACAGTTCTTCGATTGCTTATACTCCAACCTGGTGTCAAGAGGACTACGATGACCAGGTTATGATACATGGCTTGATTGGTGAAGGCTTGATTCTATTGGATGGTTAGTTAGTATGAATTTTTCGACTTATATTTAGTGAAGCTTGAATCATGTATAGATAAAAACTAAAAATTTTCTGACAGTACCCACTCACTAAAGATGCCTTTAGGCGGTGTATCAAGACTTTTATCTTACCTTCTGTTATGTCCAAGATAGAAGGTAGGTTTGAAGATTATCATAGACCATAGGAAAAACAAGATGAAAATAAGTTGTCTACAACATTTTATATGTCTATATAATGTTTTTAGTATATCATTATGTTTCTATATTCAGATCTGTTTCATTGTTGTTTGTTGGTCATCTTCACTATAAATGTTGCCTAGAAAAAAGTCAAAGCATTCTAGTTTTAGCCATTAAATACCATGTTCGAGCCCCGCTCTTATTTTTCGTTTGAGCAGGTGACCATTACCTTTAGCCATCACTTCAAGAGTGTGACTCATACCCAAGTACCTGGTGGTTGACTTAATTTGTCTTTCGTTAATTCAACCAGTATGCTGCTGGTTTAAACTGTGTTTCACGTTCTTACTTTTCCCCAGCCTTGTAGTATTTCTAGCCCTCATGCAGTGTAACTGGAAATCGACAACACAAGACTAGATTTACTAAATAAGTTACACTGTTAAGAAACAAGTACTAATTTGTGATTTTTTAAGTGCACCATGTTTTGTTTAACTTTTTTTTTGAATAGAACTAAATGAAAATCCGAATGAGGAAGTATTAAGCAGCCTGTACTATCTTCTTCGTGCTTTGCGTGTTGTCTTCGAAACAAAAGAAGTTAGTTTTTTCACTTCTCATTCTAGTGTGAAACGTGATTATTCCGGTTGGAGATTGGATGTAAATGAAATGTGAGTGTTAGTGTGCTACTGAGTTTCATCGTTTTAAAACTATTTGCCTGAGTCATTAAAAAATAGTCACTTTTTCTTGTCTGATTTGCAATATTGTCCGATTAAAATTTTTATTAGAAATTAAATTTAACAGGAAATAAATTTAATAGCTATCTGATTTATTATGTATGTTTTGGTGTTACGGAACTGTTAATTCACTAATTCAACTTACTTTTCATTAATTTCACTCAAATGAACTACTATGTATGTTTTATTCAAATGTTTATTTATACGATAGATGATTTTGAAGTGGTGGAACGTTATAGTGTAAGTTAAAATTATTAAAGCAAAACATCAAATGTTGATCTAATGAAATGAGAAAATTTACAGGTATAATCCTTTGACTCAACACTTAATGTTTAACACAGTACGGAATTATCAACATGAAATTAAAGATCAAAGGTTTTTCTCTTTGTTATTTTTATCGGATTAATGTCGGTTTTCTAACCCAGTTCAACAAGAGAGTTATAATTAGTTCATTGAAACCCATTGAATCTCATAAGTGATCTCTGACCTCGAAGTATACAGTCTATACAAAACAAACTGGGTATTTTTATTCTTTTGATCATATATATAATAATATATATAATATTCTAATCTCATTGAATATAGCAAAAAATATATTTATAATTAAATCAATTTATTTGAAACTACCAAGCCAAACCTTGGCATTGATACCTACAAACTCATTTTCATTCTTTTGTTGGAGAGATCCTATTTATTCCACTAAAAAGCCCAGAGGGGCCCTGTAAACAGTGGGAAACAATTTTTCCAGTTAACGTTAAATATAAGCTTCTCAGAAACATGTAGAAAGTGAAGAGTCATGCGTCATATTTCTGATTGGATAATTACCTATCCTGCTATTATATTTTCTGTGGTTCCAGAAACTTTTAGAAACCCAAGGCCATTTAAAATACCATAAATACCATCGATTTAATATGCTTAAACTTACCTTCGGGTAAAGCATTCTTTTTGCACTTTGCACCTTCTCTCTCGTGTTTCCCTGTAGATTTAGCCTGGAGTTACTTGAAGTGTTTAGCGAAATTACTCAAGCGTTCAGTTAGAAAACTTATCATTTTATTCGACTTTACCTTCATATTCGTTCATTGTCGTGCTTGGTTTCTATGATTTATTTCATATTTGTATTAAGTTTCTTTTTTTGTCCATTAATTTGAGATGTACTGGCTTTATTTTACGTGTAGGTTTAGATAGTTCTTCAATCACTTTGTCTTCATCTTTATTATTATTATTATCTTGAAAACAGTTTTCGTCATAGATTGATATCAACTAAAAAATCATTGAAAATCAACAAGCGTAGAATCACGCTCCGATTGCATTCTTTTTTCAAATTTTAAGTATTATATATATATTGTCGTGATCTTTTTTTAAACGACGCAGTATACAAGTTAAAAGCTTTTACTTAGAGTTCCCACCGTCTCAATATCACGTTAATGAGAAGAAAATCACTGAGGTAGAAAAAAACGGCATAAATTCAGAGAATAATTTTCACCTATTCATTCATTGTTCCTCTAAGCATCACTTCAATCCTACTCAGTTCAAATTTACAGTTGATATAAAAATAATCAGCAACTTTATAAACCTGTAGTCTCATTAGCTTAAAGCTTGTTTCATTCATTCTATTCATCTTTTTTTAAACTGAAATCTTCTTTGAATGCTTAATGTTTGCTTGTGTACATGACGTTTTCTTTCTCTCAATACTTCTCTAGAATATTCATTTGAAAATCTTGTTTCTTCTTTCTTGAAAAGAACTATTTTGTTTGAATTATTATTGGTTCTTTTTCGTGTTATTAATTCGAAAATTTTATTTTTAGTTCACCAGATTTATCCACATCATTGGAGCGTTTTTTGGCCAAATTTTATTCAATCTACCCATTACAATTATCTCCTGATTCTTCATTACTTATGTACATAAAGTGTAATAAACAAAAGTCACAAAAAATTAAAAATAATCAAATTGGAAATGCTGCATTTCTTTTAAACTCAAACAATGGACAAAAATCAGTTAATTTAACTAGAAAACAATTTAAGCAAGAACGTAAACGTAGAAATAAACAATTGAAACGTCAGTTGAAAAATGCTATTATTTCTGGTGTTACTGATGATAATAACAATAATAATAATATTGACAACGTTGATGATCATAGTGATTCAACTGTTGTCGACTATGATCATTCAACTTCAACAACTAATTCCAATGATTATTCTACAAATAATACGTTCAATTCTATCCGAAGTAGGTTATTTATAACTGTATAATAATTTTAAATAGTAAACTGACCTATCCTGTTGGACTAGTGTTTGTTAGCATTCATCAGTTAGATTTACTTAAAACCCTGAGATAACTTACATTTCTCTAAAAATTCAGAGTCAGATCACTCAGTTTTTCGATCAAAATTATTGTATCTAAAATATTTCAAAATCAAAAAGCCTCATTAACACATAAATCAAGTTTATTTCCTGGCTTTGAAACTACTATTCCTGACTGTAGGTATCATTACCAAGGTTTGATTTGATAATTCCGAATAAATTGAGCATTGGGTAGATTGTTATAAATATATTATTTATTTACTACTCCTAACTGTTCAAACTTTGTTAGTTGGAAACTGGTTTAAATATATTATCGACTAACTAGGAATATGGTGTCTGTATCAGTTGATCACAGTTCTTTGTAGAAGATATTATAGGTTATGTCGATGGATGTTAACAAGTATCATGTAGAAACGAAGAACGTCCTAGGGAACTTCCTTTAATCATACAACATTATTCTGATATAATATAATAGTAGGTTAATTCAGGATGTTTTATCTAATCAAGAGGCCAGGTAGACAGAAATTTAATTAGTTTGAAAATTGTTTTTATTAAAATTCAATGTATACCGAATCTAAAGTGTGTTTTCGATTAAAAGAATTTTCAAATTAACAAAGCTTTTAAAAATTGAATTGTTTTTTACATGTAACTCTGTTTCCTTCTCTGTTAGCTATATGTCTTAACAGGATTTCCACTTAAAAAAACACTCAGAAAATGTACTTAGTTATTGGACATTGTTACAAAATAAATCGTTTATATGATTTTGACAATTAGAAACTATTCACATCAAGTCTCATGACAATGATAGTTATATAACTCAACCGCTACCTCGTTCTTCAATTGTATGTCCAGATGAATTCAACTTAAGAGATTGGATAGTGTTATTTCTGGATGCGGAGAGGGCCTTTTTATTCAGTTGGATTCGGTTCACGTCTCACTAGTAAGCAGTATTGACTGTATTTGGATGGGTGCAAAATCTTTGAACTAGTTGATGTAAACCTAGGGTGCAATTGAAAAAGTGTATAAACAGTATATTTTTTTGGTAAAATGTAATTTTCCTTACAGTATTTTTCTCTTGCATTTGGTCATTCGATGCCTTATTTCGGCTTTTTTCTGGTTGCACATGAGCTGGACCTCAAAGTTTGGCCATTTGATCATTAGTGAGTTTTGACTGAACCTTACATTTGGGTAGCTAAATAGACAGAAGTAGCGTAAAACTTAACACTAATGTCTATCAGTACGTCTGATTATGCGACTGTGTGGTTTGAAATATCCACAAACTAGAATAAAGTAAGTGGTTTCAGACTTGTTACTCAACTATTGACGATCTAGTGTTTGAACCATCTTATTTGTTTCCAGCGTACATTCGAATGTTTTCCTTTCCTGTGATAGCTCACTCAGAGCTATAATTTTAAAATTCTGTACACTTTGTATTTGTATCGAAGTCAAGAAGAGATGAACATATTTTCTTTCTACTTTGTACTCTTATTGCGTTTCTTTTTAGGAATTAGTAATCCCTCTACAAAGGGTAACCTGAATAATCAAATATTGTTTTGGATTCAACTAATCAATCAATCAGCTTTTGAACTATTCACTTACATTGAATATTATTCATTTAGATGCTCAACAGCAAATCATCACTCTCCATTTCTATGGCCGCCACCAGAGAATACTCAAGAGCGGTTAATCAAGTTGTGGTTTAACCAGTTATCAAGTTTTGATCTATCTAACGCGACAACCGAGTTTTACCATGAAACCAGCTGTTGGTTGCGTTCATTTGATTTGTATTTGCTGTCACCTTACCGTTTTAAATGGAATGTAGAGTAAGTTTCTGTTGTTGCTACTATCAATACTATTAGATGAAAAACTAATGTATTTTAAGAATGTATTATATGGTTAAATAATTAGTCAACTTATTTTGCCCATCATTAACTATTTTGTTGTATCATAGTTATCCGCCACCCAATTATATGAATCTAAGTGGTAATCATTAGATCTATCCGGTATTCTACAAATCTATCTTTCTGTGTTAAATTTCTTCGAAATAAGACGTATATTTTGAAATATTTTGATAAAAATTAGTGTATGTTTAGATGACTTATTTCTACTGTATGACAATCCCAACCCAAGCTAACATTGATGTCTTTGAGTTAGTTTCCTTATCCCATAGAATATATGGTAGGTAATTTCACTATCTAGTTCATTTATCTCTGTTTTAGCGTAACGGTGACTAAATAATTGATACCTACATAACACCTTTGTAGTTAGTTTTCACTAACTTAGTGCTTAAGGCGTTCGACCTCCGACCGTTGCTGCTACCGTGACATGGTGGTTGAGCTTGCCTACCGTAATGAACCAATCGAGCTATACTGGCTGGAACGATCGTTCCTCAAGATCCTACCATGCCAGACAAGTTGGTTGAAGAACGCTAAGACTAAAAGCAGCAAACCTCAAGGTCTGAGGGCGAAGTCGTACTGCTGATTGTACAGAGGTATGACGACAGTAAGGTGTTTCCTTCAGACAACCAGCATGACAGCGATGCTGCCTTCCCACAAAGAGGGGTGGGTTTAGAAAAGGTCGACCCCAAAGATGCACAACTCACTTTACCACATGGATTTCCGTCTCCGGAGGTATGGTCCTAACAAGTACAAGGCTAACACGAAAATTACTCACAAAAAGGTCGTGTGTGACCGACCTCAAGCAGTTGTCCTTTGGGCACCGCGGTCACGCTCTCACTTCACAAAGACCACCTCTAACCAAATTTCCTTTTCAGGTACCTCCAGAAGAACCCTTCCACGATGTGGGCGACCGGAAAGTGATAACCGCCTTCATACCTTTAATAGCACTCAAGACCACTGTATTCATAATCAATCTCCCTCTTCAATCCCTATTATACCTCCTACCTTGACATTCAACTCTATACTTCTTTTAACTTGCTCCTTAAGTGTCACCATGGCAAACGATTCTATTGTGCGAAACACTGTCCCAGGTCTACTGAAATCTCGCTCCAAACTACAAATTGGAGCCTTCGGCGTACGCACCTTGTGTCAAATCGGCCAGCAGACCTCCTTCGCTAAAACCCTATAATCTCGTACCATTGATGTATGCTGTGTCTCCGAAATACACATACAGGATCCTAGTGTGGTCATCCACTTGACCTCACCTCGCCAAGGTGGGATGCCGACGAGATACACTCTCTGTGTATCTGGCGACCCGATGGCTAGTTCTTGTAGACTGGCAGGTGTAGACAGCACTAAGTACGAGGGCAGAACAAGCACTATTATGGTGGATCCCTGTTAACAGTTGCCTATGTGCTGTTCGGCTAAACGGCTCCGTAAGAACTCGTAAGGATAGAGACACATGTCGTTGCCTTTTCGTCGTTTCTGCCTACACTCACACCGCCTGCAACCTGGATGAATTGAAAGATGACTTTTACAGAAAGCTTTCTGAACATGGCAACTGCCTGAACCAAACCGCGATGGACTCTAGACCATATTGTCATCAGTCATCGTTGGAGAGGCTCGACCGAAGTCTGTCGCTCATTCTGGAATACCTGTTTGGACTCCGATCATGCTCTAATACGAGCATGCATTTGTTTGCGCCTCACTAAGAAGACCCATTAGGATTGAACTAAGTGACGAGAAAACCATTTGTAGATTCCTGAAACAACTGAGGTCACACTTAGGCAGTTCTGAAAACGAGGCTGACTTAGATGTTCCCGTGAAAGATACACAAACAGCAGTGACAACTGTTAGTGATTTAAACCAAAGGGTTCGGAAAAACCAATGGATTTCTACTATTTCACTGATGGATTCTCGTAAACTCATCTCATCTGGCTCTGAACATGTTGAAGAGCGTAAACAAATCAGATCTAGATTAAACTATAGGCTATGTAACGATCGTGAGCAGTATTGGGCAACGGAAGCAAAAGAAATGGAAAAGGCAGCGGCTGTAGGTAACATAAGACAGCTTTCTAGATCAATAAAAGAAACCAGAGTTAAGAAGTCAAGTGTAAGCGAGACGATCTCGGTAAAAGACGACAATCTTATCTGCTCGCAGTCCAGACGTTTAGCACGATGGTCGGAACACTTCAAGGAGCAGTTCAGCTGGCCTTCAGCTACTCTACAACTACCCACCATTCCCAGACAACCTGAATGGAACATTGAACTAGGTCCCCCGACTCCAGTTGAAGTTCAACAAGCTATAGCTAATCCGAAACGATTAAGAGCAGCTGGTCCGGATGGATTGGCTCCAGAGGTTTTTAAGTATGGTGGTCCAATTTTAGCGATTAAGTTGACTAGTATTTTAGCTAAAATCTGGGAGTTGAACGTAATCCCATCTGACTGGTCGCAATCACTGATTGTTCCAATATATAAGAAGAGGTCAGAATCGTCCTGTGATAACCATAGAGGGATTAGTTGGACTAATATAGCATCTAAAATACTAGCCTCAATAAATACTGGACGCCTAACAAAGACTCGAGAAATACAAATACGAGAAAATCAAGCTGATTTCAGACCTGGTCGTGGCTGCATTGACCACATAGCCACTATTCGGCAGGTTCTAGAACACAGGCATACTTATCGGTATCCGACAATGACGATTTTGCTTGACTTCAGAGTAGTATTTGACTCTGTAGACCGAGAGGTTCTGTGTCAGTGTCTGTCATTGAAAAGCGTACCTCAGAATTACATAAACCTTGTGAACGTTTTTCACTTGAGCATTTCTAGTTGTTGAGTCAGAACTTATGGAAAGTTGTCATCTGATTTTGCAACTTCAAGCGATGTCCAACAAGGCTGTTCTTTATCTTTTCTGTTTAAGTCCATCATAGACCTACTGCTGGAAATAAAGTTTTCATCGACTGAGTTTTCAAGGTTTGATCTACCACGAGGTCCACTTATCGACTTTAGAATACACAGATGATAAAGACCTGTTTGGTGAAGACGCTGACGAAATGCAGTGTTTTAGTGGCACTGAGCAACAGTAGATGAATGCACACATTTTCTGTCAACCTTGTGTTTTGGTCTTTTGTTCGCTTCATCTGGCTAACAGTTTCTTGCAAACACCTCTGTGTAATTACTTAGGATTTATTTGATCTAAAGGTAATATATATCACAAAGTCAAGCCATACTGAAAATCACTAAAATCGAGGGAGCACACATCATAATTCAGAAGCCAAAAGTACACACTTATGATCCCACACAAGACGTTGTGACCGTATGTTTTTCACCATATGTCAGTTCGTGCATAAAGCTATTCATATTAGGGAAACTCCACAAACCACCTATTATGTGGTGACATGTGACTAAATTCTAAGCTCTCATATTGAGAGTGATATATTTGTCACTGATGAGATGGGATGATTGTCATACTGTTTCGGAATCTGACTGAAGCTGGGACTGTAGATGATCGGGTTCATACCCAACTGTCCAAATTCTCATACCAGCTATGAAACGTAAAAGGTTCTGGATCCGATCTCGTATGAGGTTGTAAGTACACACTGCTATTGATGATTCTTCAACTAAACCCAAATAACTGTTCAGTGCCCGTTTTTTTTTAAATTTTCTGAAATTATTATCCCTACTTCATAGCTAAAATTACATTTAATCTAGTTATAAGTTGGTAAAACACTGGAAATTAGTTTATGACGTTTTACAGACATACAGACCATAAAGCCAACACGTAGGAATATGTATCGTAAAAAAGCTGTTGAATTCCATTACTTAAAATATGCAAGTTTTCAAACTAAGGAAAAATAGGCAGTGATTATACCCTAACACCATTTTAGCACATTCCTGACTAAATTTTTATTAATTCTTATTGTAAATTTATCGAGTCATATTTATATTTACTGTGTTATTGAATTAATACAGTTCAACAATTACGTATAAGATAGTGTACTAGTCTTTGAGATACAGTTATTATATGAGTGACTGATTGTTCTACCTGACGAAGCAAAAGCTTCGCGAATGAGTGTTGTTGTATGTTGAGACATATGGCTAGACAGATCGAGTATATTTCCATTTAAATAGTTTGAATGCACATAACCTTAATCTGTCATTGAATTTTTAGATAATTAAGCCAAAAACATTCTGGTTTTAGTCTATGCATTGCATAATTTTAATTAGTGTATTAAATGATCCTCAACCCTATTTTTTCTCAAAACAACAATCCATTTATAAATTTTTAATTCTCGCATCACCTCGTTTTTAATGTATATGTGTGTGTCCATACGGTTGGTGAATACGGAGATTACACCTAGGCGAGTTGGAAAACCCTGATTCCAAACCAATGGTGCACATGGAATCCAGTACCCTAAAGGAACAAATGACATGACCAATTATTGGTCACCGGCTGCCATGGGACTGCATCTCCTTACGTTGCTCAACTACCTTGTGGATCAGACCTTTAGGTCGAAGGCTCCGAGTGTGGCCCATTAAGAAAACCACCTGCTTCGGTTTGGGCACCCGGGCAGTGTCACAGCCCTCACATAAATGAAATGAGAATTGTGTGGCGCATGTGTATCTGGTGCCCCCTTGTACCAATATTTATGTGTTCAAATAAACAAATCATAAATAATTATGTGCGTGTCCATACACATAGATTCAAATTCATATTTGCTTGAGGATCATATATTTTCCTATTTAGTACTATTTGTCGTCTCTTGTCATGAATGCAATCTAAGTTTTATTTTTCGCCTTCTCTGTTTATTTGAATATATAATATTAGTATATCAACGCGATTGTTTGTTTCACCAGTGATAGTTTTCTTGGGGCAACTTTTCCATCTATTCGCTATTAATAATTCTGTTAATGGTGATAAATCCCTTAGTAAAAGAGAACATTATTTAACTGGTCGTTGTGCTGGTCTATTAACTACTGTCTTAACAAGAGAATTACTTCGTCTTAATGAACAAAAACCTGAATCAGAGAAAAATTTAAATGATGATGATGATGTGTCGGTTGGTATGGATGTTGAATTCAATTCTCATGGAGTGGAATACAATGAAATGTGGTTATGGTAAATAATCATCTGTTTTGGCTATTTTACTTTTATTTTTCATTGTTTGTTGTTTATTCGTTCAATATATTTCACTGATGTGTTCTAATGTTTGGTGTTTTGAGGTATTTATTGAGAATTTTCGTACCTAGGTCTGTGCCAGTTGGCACTCTCTAACAAGATGTACCTACAATCTTAGAGGAATGGATGCCTCCTCTCTTAGTTTAAGGGAAGACAGAGAGTGTGTACACCGATGCCATTGTGATCGATTCTGAGCCATATTACCAAGAGTCTCCAATCGTAACCAATGGACATCATTAGACTTAACATGATAATTATTGGTATATTTTTCCGAATATCCTAACAAATACAAATATAGTTATCACTGAATGCTGATAAAACGAAACAAAACGTTCCAGTCAAGAAAATTTTCTTTTAAAATGGTAGTACGAAGCTATCCATGATTACAGTACGAAGACAACTTTGTATTATGTCAGTTTGTAGGTAAAAATCACGTCATCTTGAAATTTTCCAGGAAACCACATAATGATGTAATGATGATATTGTAAAATGTGAGATACCATTTGAGAAAACGGTTTTATCAATTTTTTAAGCTAATCAGTTATAAGTCTAGATTTTATGTAATTAATAGTTAATCTTCGCCACAAGCTACATTTAGCTGGAAAAAATATAAAAATATCACTGGTTATCATCTGCCACCAGTTTCTTCTATGTTCAGATATCCTCAAGATTCCGTGTCCACAACACACAGAGGTTTGGTTACAATGAACTAGTGTTTTACAGCCACTAAATTTTCTGGATCATCCCAACAGAAACAAAATAGTCTACATTTTAAGATCCTCATATGATATACTGTCAGTAACTTCTAGCACAATCATATGATCTACCGTACTTGTTCGTATCATTAATTGTGAACTTTTATCTTCTACACTTGCATATGTGTGACTGCTTATGTGTCTATTCCACTGTTATATTCTGTTAAATTTCTGAACTGTATAAACTCACTTAATTCATCTAACGATTGATTGATACATCAATACACACGATTCACGACACTGTATAATTTACAATTTCTACAACGTCTGTACTTACGCTTGGTCTGCTGGATTTAAGTTGTTGAATTACATTTATCCCAAAGTACTTAGTATCCAGACTTTTGACATCGTGTTGTCAAATTTTTTCGATGATATACAACTGGATTAGTTTGAGAAGTGTAGAAAATTAACATGGTTCTATAGTGTCCTGGGTCAGATTCTACTATTTAAGGCTCACCAATTCACTTGTGACTTTTCTAACTCCTTTTCTTTTTATGGTGATATATGTGTGAATAAAATCCGTAATTGAAGATGACAAAAAAAAACAATTAACAGAATGATAGAAAAAGATCTCAAATTATACAGTGATGACAAGCATTGAAGCAACGAATTAGCTCTGTAGGTAACAAACATTAGCTCTATATTATTTGAGAAAGTTTATATCACAAGCAGAACCACCTTAAATAGATGAATTGTAAAAATACTATAGATGATGAGTAGGTTATCTTTATCTTTCAGTTAACACAGAAATCAACTTTATACTATCGATTTACAATTTATAATTTCGGTCTATTCATTGAGTTTATTTATCTGAACAGTTTAGTTTAACCCTTACACAATAGTTATGGTTGATAATTTTCATTTTCACTCGTTTAAAAGTTTATGATTTGACTTCATAAATTATATTGAATAAAAAATTTAATATACCCGTGTTATCAGAGCTAATTGAGCTATCGCTTCCGAATGAGAGTAAGAGTATAATTTTTCAGCTTGATCATTAATGTTTGTTTTTAGTCACCTGTTATAACTTGTGACCGCCGATTAGAGAGCAGTGAATTATCGATCGAACCAGTGACTCATAAAACACGTGCGAGCAGCCTAGAGTCCTGATTGGTCTCGCTTCCTGTCTAGCCCAGCCAGTTAAGTCTAGAACACCAGTCTCAGCCTCTGCAATATGAATCGTTTATTTCAAACATACGGGGTTTATATACCAATCAAACCGACCACAACGTACCATAAAATAGAAAATAACATTTGTACAATATTTAGCCAAATGTGGCTGTGAATAAGGGAGATGGTAATTAATAGACAGGCCATAACTCAAGAATGGTAAATCGTATAATAATAGTTCATTGGTCAAAATAAAACTCATAATTAAGAGGGACATGAATATGAACAGTTTAGTTACATGACAATTATACGATAAAAATATACTCATAGTATTGGTCCATAAATGGATCCCAAGAATTACCATTCATTATTCTTATCGGGATATAACATCACCTCATTTTGTTTATTCACGGTAGCATTAATCTGAACCTATACATGAATAATGTGTTGCGTAGATGTATGATCTCGGCTGATATTAAAGTGAATATAGGTTCTTTTCCCTACTCCTAACGATAATATAAGAGTAGATTGGAAGAAATTCAGACGCAACCAAGTCAAGATAGCATTAACTTATAAAATTATTGACTAATGATCTGAGTCGTGTTAGTAAATCCAGACTACCTGATTTGGGCCGGCACAATTATCGAAATTAGAAGGTAGACATTGGGTGAAGTGAATAAGAATCAGTCCGAATGACATCGTTGCATTCATTATTTACACTCTATATCTTGAGTTCCAATATATAGCTTCATATGTTATACTTTTGAATTTCTACTTCTCAAACCATATTCGCTACATCTAGTCTTTCGCATTATCAGTTCCACTACAATCATTTAGATTCCTTTTTTATTCGTCTCGTTAATTTCATCTCCTTGTACTGATACAGTGTAGAAACTTGAGCTAACACAGTTTTGTTTCGTTCTTTCCACGGATTATGACTGATTGACTATGAATTAATGCAATAAAATATTTTCATCTTTCTAAATTATTTAAACATTCAGATCGTTTCAGTAGTCCTTTCCTAAAGTTTTCATTGTCAATGATAAACAGAGAGACACAATTTAATGAAGACAATGATCTACTGTTCATGTGTATTATTAGTAAATTATCTGGAATTTTTCAAAAAAAAATCTCTATAATGAAATATTTCTTTAATTAAGTATTCCAATGTTACAGATTAATTTATCTTTACGGAACATTGAACTAAAGTATTTTTATTTTCATTTTTTTTTTAAAAAGGAACAAATTACATAATCTGTCAGATGAAAGAATTAAATCTCTGCATGGATCAATATTTCCCACTTTCATAAATTATTTAGTTCAATTTTCATTGAATCAATCTCCACGTATTTGTTATGCTCCCCCATTAACTGAAGAAACAGTAAATATTATACGAAATCAATATCCTAGTTGTAATATTTCCATTGGTAATCTTAAACAAATACAAATTGTAGATAGTACTTGGACAGCTTGTCTTCTTCAACTCTATCATGTCAAAGTAAGATAATTTTAATTTATTATTGTTATTATTATTATTAAAGGCATTTAAAATTCAAAAATGAAGAATATTTGAGCGAACCATTGTTTTCAATAACTTCATCATCAGACTCTACAGTTATAAGTCCATAATTATGATATTTTACAAAGGCCAAAAATAAGGCATGTATTAATGAATTTGACAATGTTATGTGTTAAAAACAATGAACGTTTGCATCTGTTACGACATATATATATACTTCAAAATTGTATTATTTGCAAATTAGAAAAGTCATTCAATAAAGGTCAGAATGATTTGGAGTAAAGTGTCCAGCCACAATAAGTAGAATAGTATTATAGCAAAAATGAAAATTATTAGAATGGGTTTTGTGGAGAGTTTTAGAAATTTCACAGGTTGAAATCATGAGTCAGTTGAAGCTAGACCACCACATATGTAATCGATAGTTTCAGTCAGAGGGATGTTAGTGAACAAAGATGTTATGTTTAGTGATACCATGGTTCTGCCATTTATATTCATATTTTTAATTGTATCCACAGATTCAAAGACGTCTTTAACACTATACTTAACCAGTTCTTGGTGCAATATTTCTAAATAGAGATACCGATCCCAGTAAGTAAAATGAAAGAACTTCTGTTGGAATCCACTATAAATATCAACTTTAAGTTTAACAATGAATTTTTCAGACAAGTAGATGGGGTAGCAATGGGATCACCTCTAGGCGATCCTTGCTAATATTTTTCTGGCCAAACTAGAAAATGGACCGTTTAAAGACATCCTAAGTAAGCTTGATTATTACTGTCGATACATAGATGACACACTAATCGTATGTGACGAAAATATCAACAAACAGATGTTGAACTCTTTCAGTAATGTCCACCCAGCCATTAAATTCATCAGCGAGAAAGAGAAAGACAATAGTATAGCTTTTCTGGATGTCCTACTTTCTAGAAGGGATAAACGGTTTCATAAAGCGAAATATATTTAGAAAGAGTACATGGACGGGTCAGTATACCCATTTCCAAAGCTTCACACCTCTTCAGTATAAAATAAATTTGGTTAAATGTCTCAACCACAGAATCAAGTTATTATGTTCTGAAGGCAGTGTGGATGGCAAAATAGATATACTAAAGAACACATTACGAAATAATGGCTACCCAGATAATTTCGTTAAAAAAATACCTCGTAGAAAGTACTAAAAAAAGAAATTGTGACAGTAAATAAACCCTATATCTGAGACTAGACTTTAAGGGGGACATAGCGGGTGACATATTAACACATTGACTCAAAAGATCTATCTAAAGGACGTTTCACGCCGCCAAGCTACACATAATTTTCTCAACTAAACCAGTACTCATACAACTAATTAAGGATAGGTTACCGAAGATGGGCTCCTCCATGTGTGTATACCAATTCAACTGCTCCTGTGGAGCTAGTTACGTAGGCCGTACTCAGAGGGGTTTATCCTTGCGTGTTCGTGAACATGTACCAGCATGGTTGGGAAAAGGAGTTACTGAATCGATCGACAGCACTATTCTTTCTCGCTTGGTAGATAGTAAACATCATATCAAAATAGAGGAAGCTTTCTCTGTTTTATATCAGGTTCCAAAATATCTACCTCAAGGAGCTAGATTACGATTGCTCTACATAGCCGAAGCCATCTGGATGAACTCCTGAAAACCAAACTTATGTATCCAGAAAAAGTATATCCAGCCTCTTTGTTTACCTTGGCCTACGACTGGATCACCGAATACGTAGACGGAATATTATAAACCTCTTACCCCCTTCCTTTATTTGTATTTGTTTAATTTTTTTCCTCATCACTATTATTTTTGATGATCTGTATCTTAATCTTCACATACATCATTCCCAATTCGTTTATCGTAATTACCTTGATAACACCCCCCTTATTACATATTATATTCACACAACAATCTTATTATTATTATCTCAATTGACAAGATGAAATTCTCCTACTATGCATTTTATTCACACTTTTTTGGCGTTTTCATTTTTCACAGGTTGAAATCATGAGTCGATTGAAGCTAGACCACCATGGAAAACCTGGAAGCACTGGACGGCCGTTTCGTCCCAGTATGGGATTCCTCAGCAGTGCACATCCACGGTCCCGCACCACGCGGGATTCGAACCCCGGATGCCGGGTCAGTGGTCTAGTGGTTAAGTGCTCGCGCGCGAAGCCAGTAGATCCTGAGTTCGAATCCCGCGGGATCGTGGATGCGCACTGGTGAGGAGTCCCATACTAGGACGAAACGGCCATCAAGTGATTCCAGGTTTTCCATGGTGGTCTAGCTTCAACTGACTCATGATTTCAACCTGTGAAATTTCTAAAACTCTCCACAAAACCCATTCTAATAATTTTCATTTTTGCTATAATACTATTCTACTTATTGTGGCTGGACACTTTACTCCAAATCATTCTGACCTTTATTGAATGACTTTTCTAATTTGCAAATAATACAATTTTGAAGTATATATATATGTCGTAACAGATGCAAACGTTCATTGTTTTTAACACATAACATTGTCAAATTCATTAATACATGCCTTATTTTTGGCCTTTGTAAAATATCATAATTATGGACTTATAACTGTAGAGTCTGATGATGAAGTTATTGAAAACAATGGTTCGCTCAAATATTCTTCATTTTTGAATATTTTATGGGGAATTTTAAAGTTCGTTTAAAATTGTTTTGCTTGGTTTGTCTCATTGTTCAAACATTTACCCTTACTTTTACTCAATAACATCCCTTCTATAGCTAGACAAGGAAGTTAATCATAAAAAGACCTAAACTGTAGTAAATGCTCATCGGTTGAAGCTGTTATATTTCACATCAGGGTGGGGTGTGGAAATTAACAGGTTATAAATCAAAGGATTCGAAATAATCGTACATATCACGCTGTGAGAAGCCAAACATAAAATTGATGGATTCTAATTGTAGGTCAATACTAAAATCCAAGGTCTAAAGGGAAAGTGAAAAATCAATACTTATTCATCAATTAGCCTGTTTTAGACTCATACCACCCAATCCCTTCAAACCATGTATTAGCGCATAAGCGTTAACATAAATACTATTCTCGAACCTACAAAGATATTCCTAGTTAGTCCTAATCATGAAAGTGTAATGAAAAGTTAACTTTATTTCAATGTTTTCTTGCAGGAACACAACACATACATGTTAATATTCATATCGATATATTTCGATGTTATCATTATTACGTTGAAAAGTACTGGTATAAATCAAAGTATTGTTTACCTTCAAAATCTTTATTATTTCAAATTTTATTAGAAAGAAACTTTAACACATTAGAAGTTGGTTTTACTCACTTTTTCATAATACATTAAATTTGAAACATAAATTTTAAATGACCAAAAATAGTGATTATACGCGTGTAGACTATCTGGTTGGGATCCGCGAGATGATAGCAACCGATGGTTAGAGACCTTGAATGACATGACTCAAAATCATTTGCAATCGCGCAGGTGCATTCAATCTTTATGTTCTCCCAAATTATAATCTTCTGAATTCTTCATGTCCCTTTTTTTCTCTTTCCAAACTTATTTCACTGGATTATACTCCTTGAATAACATCTTCAAACCCTAATCTTTCCGATTACTGCTCATACTTTTACTACCTCTACCACTACGGGATTTGAATCGACAATTGTATCTGTGTGCTAATGTGGTATAGCAACTCGAACTGATGTACGTACGTACGAAGTTCTACGTTGTTACTGACTGACTGATTATACGCGACTAGGTATCAAGTCAAAAATTTTCTTAGTAATCTATAGTTAAAATAAAAAGAATTTAGCGAAGAAAATTTTCTTTGCTTAATTTTCTTTATTTTCATTCAATGACGTAATGGATTATTTTAACAATAGGAGGGAGTCAAAAAAAGAAAACCTTTGTTTTAGGGATTATTATTATTATGTCGAAATTATGTGGTATATTTAGGTTGATTCATTATTATCGAGATTTTTATTGTTGATATGAACTGGAAAGAGAATTAAGTCATCTCAAAATACGCGTATTCTAATTGTAGTGATAGTATAATAGTGTGAAGCTATCTGCTCTGACAAGTTTATCTCGGATAAATATCAAACAATTGAAGTTAATAGTTCATTTAGCTATGTATGATTATTTTAATTTGTGTTAATTCGAAATATCCGAAAAATTCATTTTCTTTAACCTTGTATACATAAATGTTTTAGTATTCACTTGCTGTAAAATATGTTCGTGAGAATAAAGAATTGTGTACAAAATTACATCTCACTGAAACATATTTGGATAATTTCACTATGTTGAGTGTTTTAAATGAAAAACTAAACGTTCAATATGATACACAACTTTTGAAAGATCAAACTGGTTGGCTTGTTCCTGGATTTCTACCAAGAATCACAGATGGTCGGTATACATGCCCAGTTTTTTGGCGTCCATTAAAAGATAATCGGAACAAAATATTGCCTTTATTGTGATGTACATAAACTATATTTGATGATCTTTGTTTTATATTCATTCTTGTATATATAAGATCATCCACTCTCGAATTTTGTGTTTTTAAGAATGTCTTCTGTAAAGAATACCAGACATGCCTTTTTATCTACGGTAGGAAACCAGTCAACCAACTGTTGAGTATATAGTCGCATTTTATCCAGTCGCTTGTCGAATTTACAGCCACAAGTTCAAAATTATTTTTATCTTTCGCACATTCACTACGATTTCTATCTAACCTTGTACGTAAATTTTTAAATGATCATTAAGCCATAGATTCGTATCATTCTTATTAGATTTAGATCATATATGCATCAGAGAAAATGCACTGTATGTATGCACTTGTCATTGCGTTATTGGAGAATCGAATGCAAATCATCTCGTGATCTAGTTAAATTATGAAACATTTAATTACTACTTATTTAATATTATTATTATGAGAACAATTTTCTGAATTAGATATTGGTCAATTAAGATGATGCTTTGATGAGTGATAAGTAGTGAATACAATAAGTTTATCATATTATGGTACACAAATGATGATGATCCTTCATTGAAAATATCTTAAAAGTATATACGGTTTATTGTTTCTATGCAAAAACGTTCATTGTTGTATTGACACATTCTCACACTCTTAATTTAAAATCACGGTTCTTCGCTCCTCTAAATCTCATTCAACCTAGTCACTAATTTATTACCTAAAATGTTTATCTAGTGAGTGATCTCAGTTGTGAGTTATTAGTAGCTACAGAAATATTAGCCCTAGTATAAGTATATACAGGGTGTTGGTGATTCATTCCACCGCTCTCCAGAGGACGAAACGCTTATAACTATTCTATCAAATATCCTATTGCAGTGCTTGCCTATATTGTAATCAGCGAGCAACTGGTGTTGATATTAGATTGTGTGTGATATTTCAATGAGATGAACTAGTCTACTTGTATACTTTCATTAACTAATACGGTCGAGATGTAGGAGGTCTGTGCAACTAAAGCCTACCTTTGTGTGCTCTAATGGTTAGCGAATGAATATATAAGGAATAGGTTAACAGTAAAAACCTGATCAGTATAACTATCCTTTTTTTCTATAGATACTACTAAGGTCAACAGTTTAAATCAGTTTGTGATGAATGTAATTTCTGTGTTAATGAATACCTTGGTTGGTGGAAGTAGTAATCCTCTGACAAGTCCAGAATATCTACTGACCCACCCTGTCATAAAAAAAGGAAGAGGAACTAGTAATTAGTTCATTCGCTTCTCGAACTTTCTTTTACATAGCTGCATCCATATGCTTCGGGTGATTTTCTAATAGCTTCATACAAGTCTGTAGCGAACTTCTATAGTTTTTGACTATACACTCTTCCTGCATAGGTTCCCGCAACTTACCACTGGTCGTTATTAAAAAGAATTCTTCCTAGCTAGCAATGTAGTTGGCTTCCTCAACTTGCTTATAACCTGTTCGAATAAGTTTTGTTGGATCAATCGTTTTAAATAGGGCTTAAATGGTACAGCTGTAAAATAAATTGTACAAATTTACTACGTTTGTATAGTGAAGTCGAGTGATTATTTATACTGCATTTGCTTATATATGTCTCAGTTACACGACATAGTTTATAGCTTTTCAGCTTTGACCACTAAAGTTTATTTCTCAATGAAACATCTGAATATCGAGAATTCCAATCTATAATTGGTATGGTATTTTAAAATATACCACAGACACTGTTAGCTTCAATATAAAATAAGACCAGTTATGTCAACGACCATCATCGAGATTGGTTATTGAATAATTAAAGAGACAAATATAAATATGATAGCAGATGATAAGGAGGGATATCTTTATTTTTGGAGTCATACAATCCATTACTACATTCCAGCTCATGCTAGTAGACATTATTTTCCTGAAATTAAATTTGTATGACTCCAAAGGGACTGTGCATGTATGACTTTATTCACAGTAATGCTTGTCCCCTAAAGCACTGGAACTATGGGATAAAGAAGAGTTTTTCGTGTTCAGACCAATCTCTTTATAACTTGTCTTCGAAATGAAATGGTATATTTGACAGTATGTGACTGTAGTCACATATGTTCAGCTAATGGCACAAACGCGAATCTAGCTGTTCATGATGATGTAACCATTCACAATGTACTAGTACTGTAAGACCGTTGGGTTAGTCCAGGAAGTCAATTAATTAAAACTGTATAACAAATACCTCAATGGTAAGTAATATCATATCAACGTAGTAATTGTCGTGGTTATGAAATAAATCTCAACTTTAAAGCTACTGACTTTATCCACTGTGCTCACATTTTCAATAACATTTTCTTTTTAATTGGAACTAAGATTTTGCGTCAAATAATTTTAGTTGACGGTATTAAATAAGGGGTTATTATTATTGCTACTTTCATCCTAATATCTTTCACATATCTATAAGATAGAATTCATGGATGGCAACCCATACAGTTTTATAGTGGAAAAAATTTCAGAGAAAATTGGATAAAAGATTAGTTTTCTAGTCTGACTTGTAAACTTTTATATTTAAACGAGTGCATTTCTCACCCACCCTTTGAACAATATTAATGCTGCTTAGCTTATGCTGAATGTACAATTATTTTGCGAAGCGATAGTTTGAAAGTACTTTGGAATTTAAATATTATTCAACAGACTTAGCTGGGGTTTTTTTTGCCTTTATTCATTCAGATCAATATTTCAGTGAACACGAATTTGACTAAACAAACGATATATTATTATTATTGTTGTTAGTTGTCCCGTTTTAACTACTTTCTTCCTTACTACCATAAGGGGTTTGTGTAGATTGTTGCGTTTCATAGGCTATATCAACTGATTTTAGCCAAACAACTATCAAAAACCAGAAAGCGCTGTGCAGATAATTTGTATTAGTATGAAATTTGTAGACCATTGGGTAATATCTCAGTGGTCTGAAGGTTAAGGGCTCACAGGAGACATGAATGTCCTAGGTTCAATTTCAAGATTTGTGGATGTGCACTGCTGAATAGTCTAATGGTAGGATGAAACAGCGATCCAGTGCTTCCTAGTTTTCAGTGGTTGCTTAAACACAATCAGTCTATGATGTAAATTAATACTATTTCCTGCTATATGCAATTAGTCTATCGATCCGAAATTTTGAAAAGTAAAGGAATAACAACGTTCAGAAAAGTTATCCAGGTCAATTCTATCATGTTTAGACACCAATTAAATATGAGTTAATTTTCCTCTTATATGTAATTTTCAATCCAAGAATCAATGATAATGGATAAGATCAGGGAATTATAGCAATTATCAAAATTTACAGTTAGTTCCTTCTATTATACAAACTTTAATGAGGGAAAGGTTAAAAAGTTTGAAAGATTGTGATGAATTCATATTTTGTGGAATTTGGTAATTATGTTATATCACAATATATACAAAATAGCATTATTTATGCATATGTCGTTAAAAACGAGTAAATAATATATTGCCAAATGATAAAAAATTAATACTACTGGTTTATCAAGTACGGGTTTAGGCATGTTACACGCTGATTGTTCACAACTCAGTGATCAACAACTGTAAATATATGAGAGGTCATCAGTTACTACCTGTATAGCTCAGTGATAACGCCCCAGACTGTAAAGCTGGGTGACACGAGTTCGAGCACCCTAGGGAGCATCAGTCCCATTGTAACCGAAGGAAGGCCTCGTTGACGAGTGCCAGCTAGCACGAAATCTATATCCGTGGTTTCTTACCGACTACCTCCTGCCAACTTATGTCACAATGTGCTATAGTCGGTGATACTGTCTTCTACGTGTGTATCGAATTAACCAAATCACTATCTGAATTTGTGACCTACCAGTTAAAAGCTAAACCCGTTAACCTCTAGATTGTCACTTTTTATGATTGATTAATAATTTTATATTTATTACAAATCTGGAAAGCTGCGGTCACTAGTTTAACCTAAACGTTTGTGATTCTAACCACTAAGGATTTACTTCAAATATTTGGCAAAAATCAAAAGAAATTCCCTTCGTATAACAAAATAAAAATCGATCTTAGGTTCCGTGTTTTTGACTTTTTTCCAAAAAGCTGATGTTTCATGCCGAAGTAAATTTATGGAAACAAGGCTTAAAGTGAACATCAATTTTTATCTAATCAATTCTAAATAGACCTAAGCTACATAGACTTTGATTTATATTAAGAAGTGGATTGTGGTAAATAATTCCATGAAGTAAAGCACTAGAGTACAATTTTTAGTTACCATTCTCATCAAAAATGTTATACATTTCTTGATTTTATCAAAGCTAACAAAAAAGTTTGTAAGTTGCAGTTTATCCTATGCAAAATTAACCTGAGGTCAAATATACAAATGTTAGACTCACAACAAATATTCATCTTTTTTTGTAATAATGATGCTAGCTGGAATAGTATAAGAGTAAAAACAAGACTCATAGTCATTAAACTAAGATCCATGAAATTATTGATTGTTGGTTTAAATCTAGTTGGAAAAGCGATATGACTCTCTGATTTTGATAGAACAATAAGAAGATGAAGTTGATCTGAAAAATGCCATACATTTTGGACAATCTGGTTGAACATATATTTGTCATGTTATATGAAAATTTAAAAAAGGTTAGTTAAGCGAAAGCTCCAACGAATAGTTCTAAATAAAGGAGAGAAAGGACCGTTATAATATTGAGAAGAATAGAAAATCGTCTCACCACCCCATGCCATGAAATGACTTACAGGTAACCAAGGCAGATTCAAGGTTACAACGACTTGCTTCTGAACACATGAAGAAGGTTTGAGTTTGGAAATAGTCAAAGCTCTTATAAATCTAAGATTCGTCATGACAATTTCTGTGAAATGTTTTAAATGCTTTATTGGTGTCAGTCAGATGCCCGTCTCAATTGTTTTGCTATCAGTGAGCATGGTTTTCTAATTCACCCGTTTATCAGAGCGTTTGACGCTAACTTGTTTTGAAACCATCTAGGCACATGTTCGATAACCCTTGTTTACGTTGTTAGATTACTCCTCCCTATATATGTGTGTCCATACAACCATGTAAACTGGCAAATGTACTGGAATGCGGCTTAGTCAGGTGTGCAATATCTGGGCCTTTATGAAATAATCTGTTTCATACTTTCAGTCAAAATTAGTTTGGCAGAGTAGTAATTTTTCATAACAATATTGTTCGATTTTCCTTTATATGATAAAAAGACACAAAGTATTTTTCTTGGCAGCAGAATTAAAAAGTAGTTTTAATGTTAACCGACTTTTGCA